GTTTTCCATAAATGCTCCGTGGCCACTGATTCTGAGACAATGAGTCAAACACCAGACAATTCAATTTAGCCAGCATTAACCCAGCAATTTTAGGCTCCAGGAACTTTGGGGGACCTCCTCTCTTTTAATTTCAAGGTTGAAGGTATGGTTCCCATTTTATAGATGAACTGATCAATGCTCGGAGAAAAACAGAATTATGCCCAAGATCACACAAGAGGCAGAGCTAAAATTAGAGGCTCTCTAAGTCTCACGTTCTTTTTGACTTCCGAGTTAAAAGTGTATTCTTCTCTGAGCTGTTTTAGGAGCTCACATGGACCAGACGCCCTGCTGGTTCACTGAAACCTGTTAGCCCATTTTAAATTCTCACTGTTAAGCCATGAGGGTAGCATTATCATTCCTACTTTACAGTCAAAGAAATGGAGGCTGAGGTGAAGTCCTTGTCCAAGGTCACACAGCTGGATATCCTAAATTTGAACTACAGTCAGTTTGAACTCTGAACTCTGTTGTCTGGCCACTAAATCTACTGCCCCTCCTCAAGTATAAGGGGCCAATTTCATTAAGAAGAGTCAATCCATGGCTTTCGTTTTTTAATAGATAAATTACACTTTAACTCAAGGGGATTTGGGTTTGAGCTCATACATTCACTTACAGTTTCTTTAATAACACTAAAAACCCAGTCCTGTGGACATCAGTTAGATACCTAGACGTGCCCTGCATGAAACAAAACAAATTATCAAGAAGCAGTCAAGTTAAAATTTCACTACTACTAGCCTAACAGCTAATCATTTCTCCAGTTTTTTCTTCTCTAGTTCTTTCATTCAGTCAATAACCACTTCCCTTAGAATCTAGAGACAAACACATATCAAATAATCACACAGTTAAAAAACCCTGATAAAAACACCAGGAAGGGAAAGTAAGTACAGTGGAGTTCAGAAAACTTATAATGGGAAGGCTGGACAAAGCAATAAAGGAAATGCAAGGAGCTCTGACCAATGTGGCTCAGATGGTTGGGCATCGTCCCAAACATTGAAAGGTCGCCAGTTCGATTCCAGGTCAGAGCACATGCCTAGGTCACGGTTCAGTCCTGGGTTGGGGCACATACAAGAGGCAACTGATTGATGTTTCTTTCTCACATCAATATTTCTTTCTCTCTGCCTTCCCCTTGCTCTTTAAAAAAAAAAAAGAAAGAAAGGACATGGAAGGAGTCTGAGATTTGCAAGCAAAGTTGAGAAGGTGAGAAGACCTTCAGTACCAGTGAACAGTACGTGCAAAGGCCCTGAGAAAGAAGAGAACCATACAAGCATGACCTTGAAAAGAAGTCACAGATAGCAATGACCAGGCCATGCAGGGCCTTGGGGACTCAGTAAAGAGAATTAAAGGGACCTAAGCAGAAGCAACACATAGACAAATCTACATTTTTAATGGTCACTCTGGCTGTGTGTCACACTCCAGCCAAGTAACTGAAGTAACCTCTGCCAGAACATAGTTCAAAAACTCTACTCTGGATCCTGCAAAACAAGTTTGTTTGTTTCTTTCTTTTTTCTCTCTTTTTTTTTTTTCTTCTCTCTAGGGTGTGGCATACCACCCTGGCTGTGAACTAGCTCCCTTTTTTCTCTGTTTCACTTGCGAAGTTTAAAGGCCAGATCTTTTATCAGGCCTGAGACCTGTTTTTCTTTCAATAGCCCCCAGTAAAGTCCCTCATATCGTTCTAGGTCCCACCTCATTTTCTAACCTCTCTACCCTCTCTGATTTGCAAAAGGGGTCAGTCAATACCAAAAGGTAGAAGTACAGGGACAAGCTGCAAAAGAACCACTGATTCTGCCCTCTTAAACCCCCTCACACCCAGTCAAGCAGTTAAAAAAAAAAAAAAAAAAAAAAAAGCAAATCTGAGATCATGTCACTCCAGAGGTGTTAAGATTCCTGGATTCCCCAAAGCTCTCTTAGCCACAAACACACACACACACACCACACACCCCCAACCTGGTAGCCCCAGCCAATGAAGCGCTAGCTCCTGTTGGCACAGCTCCAAGCTTTCATAACTGCTTTCAGTTTCTCCACTACAAGAAGCCTCGCCTCACCCCACCCTGCCCTGCCAAGAGTCCTTAACAGCCACTGACACTTCCTCCAGGAAGCCATTCCTACCCCAACAGCGCTACAGCCCATGAATTGCCCTGCTACAAGTTCCAACACTATTCTAAGAAAGCAGCTTTTTAAAAACGTCATTGTAACTGGTTCGCTGCCCACCTCCCTAGGGCCCCAACACATGTGCCCACATATATACACAGAAAGTTGGTAGCTCCAGAAGGACAGAATCTGGGTGCTGCAGCCCTGGCATCTAGCACAATGCCTGGCACCCAGTTGGGGCCCCTTTAAATATTTATTGAACGAATGAGTTTTTCCTTTCCTATTAAGTTCGATTGTGAATATGAACATGAAAGACTCAAGCCACCAACCCTAGAAAGGTGCTTCATCTCACTCTTGGAAATCTGGAAGGCACATATGCTCATACATAGTTTCAGATAGGACTGAAACTTCAGGAAAAGTTTTCAGATATTAAGGCAATAACAGGCAACAGGGAGAGAAGGTGTCCCCGATAAAAAGCCAGGACGGAAACATTTGAGCTCACACAGTTCCTACATGGGCCAACTCTCGTTGCTAGAACAGCAAGTCCACTGAGTAACTGACCTTGCTCTTGACCTTGTTCTTAGTCTAACAGCCTTCATAACCAACTCCTGGTCCTTCACCTTCCTTAGAAGCACACTCCCCACTTTATCTCTTTTGCATTCTTTCTTCTGAAATACCAACGATGTGGAGTTATTGTATCACAGTTTTGGTTTTCTTGGCTGAATTCAAAAGGAACAAATAATACAGGGTCCAACACAAATAATGCCCCGTTTTTATTACAAAATTTTTTTTTTACAAAATCACAGGCATGTAATTCTGTAACATAACAATATCACACTCAAGCACGCCATATGACATTTTAGGTGAAACGTTCAAATTAAAACTATAAATTATTATATCCACATTATTACCCTACCGACGACACTCAAGCATGCCTTACTTCTGCGAGACCCTGTATATTGTCCAGGCCTGAACTAGGGTCTTGCCACTTGGAGTGTGATCAATGGATTAGCACTACATCACGTGAGAGTTTGTCATAAATCTCAGCCCCACCCCAGACTTACTGAATTAGAATATACCTTTTAACCAGCTCTCCAGGTGATTCCTGTGCACATTTAAGTTTCAGAAAAGCACTGGGCTAGATCCCACATTCATTCAATAAATATTCATCGAGTCAGTGTAGGGTTCACAGTTAAGTGGTCAACATACACATGCGGATGTGAATGGTGTGGGGAAAGGGTAAACACACACATTCCATTGCGGTTGAGAAGCTCCTGTAAACTACTAAAAACAGCATGACTGGGTAGAGAGGTTCTATCAGGACTGATAATCTTTACACGAAAATTCAAAAGTGGCCGCTGCAGCTCGGTTATGGGAATCCGGAATCTGGGAACTTGACCCTGTTCGCAGCAAGCAGGCGGAATACATGGGAGGTGTGTGAGTGTGTGAGGGTGTCTCTTCCCGGACTCAGCCACAGGCCGCAGGAGCTGACAAGGCCAAGTCCCCGCCCCCCTCAGCTGTCACCCTGTCAAAACAAAGCTGCTGCTGACAGCGCTGGGCTAGGCTGCCCCGCAGCCTCGGGCAATCCTCCCACCGGGGGAGTACGGCGCCCACAGCTGGATCTGCAGCTGAGGGACTACGGGGTGCCGAGAGCTGGGATGAAGAGGCGATGGCAAGAAACGTGCGTCCTCAAACTGAGCAATAGCGCCCGCCACGCTGGGCTGTCACCTTGCCAAATCCTGTTTACACCCCCAGCCTACGGGACAACGTTTTAACTAAACAATAATACGATAATGACGGGGCTGTCACTGCGCGCCGCAGCGCCTCCGCCCTCAACTGAGGGTGCCCGGAGCTCCAGGACCCTCGCCCCGGGCTGTGCCCACCTTCCCAATGGGTGCGTTCCGCCCTTTCTACCTCCCGAAAAGCGCAGGAGTGCAGGAGCCTATTCTACCCTCCCACTGGGACACGGGGAAAGGACATGCGAAGAACGGGCTTTCAGATCCCCCCAAAGATGTACCCTTGGTCTTGGGGCGCTCGCCACACAATGAGCACAGTTCCACTCTTTGGAAGGCGCCCCTGGCGAGCTCCTACAGAGCAACAAAGTCCCAGGGCAGCCCAAGAGCGCGGGTACAGAGGCAACTCCTTCCAAGAGGGAGGCATGAAAGACTCTCGGTCTTGGTGATCCCCCTTCTTCCAACCCAGTTAGCTTGTCCGAGAAGCTAACTGGGCGCGGGCGACAGCAGCACTTCCGCGGTGCAGCGGCCCCAGGCGGGAGGCGGGAGGCGAGAGGCGGAGGCGGGGGCGGGCGGGGGAAGGGGAGAGGGCGGGGGTCCCGCGGGCTGGGCCCTAGCCCCTTCGGCGGTCGAGGAGCGGCGAGCGAGTACCTTGCAGGCGGAGTACACTCCGAGTTTCTCCAGTTTCTTGGCCCGCGGAGCGGAGCGCAGTTGCGCCTTCTTCACGGCGATTCGGGCCGAGCCGCCGCCTCCCGGTCCTTCGGCCGTGCCTGCCGCCGCCACTGCCGTCGCCGGTCCGCAGGAGCCCGAGCCCCCGGCGGCGGCTGCGCACGGGGAGCCCTGCGGCGGCAACGGCGGCGGCGCGGGGGGCTGTGGGGGCAGCACCCCAAGCCCGGCACCCGCCCCGGTCCCTGCCCCACCGCCCGGTCCGACCGCGCCAGCCTCGGACATGCCGCCCGCAGCACCGCAGGAGGTGCCGAGTGTCAGGCGCCGCCGCCGCCAGGGTCTCCCTCCCGGGCTCTGGTCTTAGGGAGAGCGAGACCCTCCCCCCACGCCCTCCCGCCCCCAGCGCCCACCCCCCTCCCCGCCCCAGCCCTCCCCCGCGCGCCGCTCGCCGGCTCGCTCCGGCCGCGGCCCGCGCTGATGGTGGCGGCGGCGGCAGCTGCTCCCCTAGGAGGGAGGGGACTAGCGGCTCCCGGGCCGCCGCCACTGCACACGCCCTCCCCGGGCTTTCCTCCCCGGGGCTCTGCTCTGCGCCCGGGCCGCGGACATGTTCCTCGGACTGCGGACGGAGGGTGCTGCCAACCCCGGCGATGCAAGAGCACAGAGGCTTCCCTCGGCCTCCTTCCAGCTGCCCGCGGGGTTGGCGCCCCCCACCCCCGCGCCTCTACACCTAGCGATCCCCCGCCAGGGGGCGAGGCCAAGCTCGGGTGGGGTTGAGGGATGGGGGGCGGGGGATAGGGCTGGAGCCCTGGCACCTGCTGGCCGCCTCTATCTTCGCAGCCCCCAAAGCCGACCCCCGCACTCCCGAGCCAGGGGTGAAGGGTGGGGGCAAGGGGTAGGCGAGATTCCCAGTCATTTGTTCTTCCACTTTGTTCCATCCTCTCTCGGAACCGAGAACTTCCTTCACCCTAGCGGGAGCCAGAGGAAAAAAAATATATTTTTGAAAAGTACCCGTCCATGCTAATCCTTTCTTTGTTGCTAATCCACCAAAATAAAGGAGTGATGTTTTCTGTTTCTCTTTTTAAATACTTCTCTATCCAACTTTTTTAAAAATTAAGAACTTTTTTTAATAGTAATTTCTGGATCCAATCTGCCAGAGAAAGAAGAAGGCTGTTAATCAATGTTTTCTGTAATTTTTGTTTGAAAGTGCTAGTTGTTAAAAGAACAGTTGTCTAAAAGCACTGTCAAAATGAAATCTAGGCGCAGTGGGAAAAGTTCGAATACAGAAAGTTTGTTAGTAAGGCTCATCTCTACATGGTATTATAATCTTGTTATATTCTTTTCTATAATGCTCCAGTTTTCAAAACTGATACTACCAGCATACATATTAACCAAGAAAAAAAATTTAAGCATCCAAAAAGATGAGTGTTGACTTTGGCCTCAAAAAAAAAACAAAAAACAAAAAAAACCACCACTAGCGCTTTCAACTGTCGTTGAAACTGTTAAATACTGTCCTTGTCTTTGTTGATGACAATGACAGTGGTGTTTAGTAATAGGGAATAAACATTTCAGTTTTTCATTTGAAAGTTTTGCATCCTTGGTCAGTCTTTCTAAAGCAGCTTTTAAAAGCCCAGGGCTATTCCTCAGGACCCTTCACAAGCATCCTGCTTTTATAACATGAGTCATAATTTTTATGTAACACAGGTCATAATGTGAGTATTATAAAATTCTTTGCATGCCATAAAGCTCTCATCTACCTCCAGTGTCACCTTCAGGAATGTACTTTTCCCTGGAAACATGCCCCTTCCCAACCCGTTTTTTCCAATTAATTTTCTCTATCCTTTTTCTAGATTCTCTATGGTCTTTTAATTTTTAAAGCAGAGTGATATGTAAAAACGGAAAATTTTTCGGAGTTTGTAGATCTAAGCAGTGATATTAGGGCAAAAGGAAATATCCTTTCCCAACTTGAATCCAGTCTGAAGTTCTGAAAGGACAGACTTTCACCAGGTTCTTTCAGGACAGTTCCTTATTTAGCTTAGTGTGCTTCACTGTTACTCTCTCCTGGTTCTGCTGTTTTACAGATTGTTTGCCGTTCTCATCAAAGCAAGATGAAAGTCTTAAAAGCTGTGATCCCTTGATCAAAGTCTGTTATGATGTTAGCAAGTATTGATAGGGTTTTGAGTTCCACGTGTAGGCATTTATCAAACAGAGGGACTAGTCCACCTGAGATTTGTGCATTTCATGGGATATAAATTTCCCTCAAATATATCTTAAAATCATAAGTATTGAACTCTCGTTAACGGTGCTCATGCTGAAAGTTTAGTTGTGCAGTGCCCTGATATCTGCAGTGTGTTTTGCGATGCATCAAAAAATAAGATTGATTGATGCTTCCATGAATGGGGAAATAAGCAGATGAACAGACATACGATAAAGAAAGTAGAGTAAAATGTTAAGGGTAAATCTAGGAAGTAAGTATAGAAGTGTTCACTGTGCAGTTCTTCCAAGTTTTCTGTATGTTTGAACTTTTCCGTAATAAAATGTTGGAAGAGGAACCCAGCTTTAAAATTAACTAACCATCACTTCCCCCTCCCAAGCCACTCCCAGAATGCAGGATGCAGCCTATTTTTGAGTTATTTTGAAGCAGAAAAAAACCTCATTTCAATCCACCCTGAAAACCATCAGTGTCTGAATGATGAATTGCTTGTGACATCAACTGAACATTATTTTTCATTATTTCCCTGCTCAAAGCACCCAGATGACACATTGCCTTAGGCTGAAGGCCTAGAGTTTCAAGGGCTATTCAAAGTCCCTCATAAGCACCAGGCAAGAACATTTCAAGGGCAAAGATTTGGAAGCCTTCCTCATCATGCTGTTGTGAGCATTTAGCTCCTGTGTGTAGAGCCCTTTTAGAAGGTGGATATAAAGAAAATAAAAGGCAGCAGCCTGGTCAGTGTGACTCAGTCAGTTAAAGCTTCGTCCTGTAGCAGAAAGGTTTCAGGTTTGATCCCTGGGCACGTTCAGGAAGCCAGCCAATCGATGCTTCTTTGTCACATTGATGTTTCTCTCCCTTCCTCTCTCTTTTAAATGAATGCATAAATAAGTGGTACAACAAACTGATGTTTCTCTCTCTCTCTCTCAAATAAATCAATAAAAATATTTTTAAGGAAAATAAAAGACAAAGCTTTAGTTTCCAAAGTATTTACAACTTACTGAGGAAAGGAAACCACAATCAGAAAAGAAAGGGCAAGGGGAGTAGGAATTGCAAGGGGTCAGTTGACAACTGGAGGCTACTTCTGGCACATTATGAGGCTGGTACGAAAAATGACCTTCCCACAAATGTATAGATAGAGCTCCAAGCAATACTATTGAATGACCACCCCGTACAGTATATTACCATTTATGTTAAAAACAACCTCACATGGGCGTATAAGCACAATTCTGTGTATGTTCAACAAATGCATATAAAAAGATTTAGAAAGACTCTTGAAAGTAGTTGCCTTTCACTGGACACCCTTGAGTAAAACCCGTATTTCTCATTTTTGTTTATTCCCAGTTCCTCAATCAAAGCAAGTTCTCGATAAATACTAGTAGTCGTTTCTACCCATAAGCTCTGTCTTTGAGCTGTTCATTCTGTCTCCATGGCCATCACCTCACCCCAGCTACTAACAGCAACTTCCTAACTGGTCTCTCTGCTTTTACCTCGCTCTACCACAGTCCCCTGTGAACAGCAGTGCAGAGGTTTAAAGCTGTAATGCAAATCTTATCCCATAATTCCCTGCTTGAAACTTTCCAGTTGCTTCTCATTTAAAATATAATTTCAGCCCCATAACCTGATTGGCAAGGCCCACCTATCCTTGCCCTCTTCCCGAGTGTGTGGTATATTCCAGACAGACTCAGGAAGCTCCTTCCTGCCTCGGGGGCTCTGCATTTGCTGTATTCCCTGCAAGTCTTGCCCAAACAGCATGGCTGGCCCAAGAATACCTTTAGTGTTATTTTATTCATTTTTCATTTTAGTTTTCCCGATTAACAATTTTTCTTTTTTTATTGCTGCTGTTTTTTTAATTATGTTATAATGATGATGCCATTACAATTCTCCCAATCTTTCTTCCCTTTTGCCCTATTCCCTCAGGCAATCCCCTACAATTGTTTATATTCATGGGTCAAGCGTGTAAGTTCTTTGGCTACTCCTTTTCCCATACTGTATTTTACAACACCATGGCTATTTTGTAACTACCTATTTGTACTTCTTAATCCCCTCACCTCCTCAGCCATTTCCCTATGTCCCCTTCCCATTTGGCAACCATCAAAACACTGTACTATCTATGATTCTGTCTCTGTTCTTCTTGCTTGCTTAGTTTATTTTTTTAGATTCAGTTGGCGATAGATATGTATTTATTGCCATTTCTTGGTTCTTAGTTCTGACCTTCTTTCTCTTACATAAGTACCTTTAACATTTCATATAATAATTGATTTGGTGAATGGTGAACTCCTTTAGTTTTTTCTTGTCTGGGAAGCTCTTTATCTGCCCTTTGATTCTAAATGATATCTTTGCTGGGTAGAGAGATCTTGGCTGAAGGCTCCTGCTTTTCATGGCTTTGAATATTTCTTGCCAATCCCTCGTAGCCTGCAAAGTTTCTTTTGAGATATCAGCTGACAGTTTTATGGGAACTCTCCTGTAGATAACTAACTGCTTTTCTGTTGTTGCTTTAAAGATTCTCTCTTTATCTTTAACTTTTGACCTTTTAATTATGATGTGCCTTGGCGTAGGCCTCTTTACATCCATCATGTTTGGGACTCTCTGTGCTTTCTGAATTTCCATGTCTGTTTCCTTCACCAAACTAGGGAAATTATCCTTCATTATTTTTTTCAAATAGGTTTCCAATTTCTTGCACTTTCTCTTCTCCTTCTGGTACCCCTAGGAGGCGAATGATTGTTGGACTGCTTGAAGTTGTCCCATAGGCTGCTTACACTATCCTCGTTTTTTTGGACTCCTTTTTCTTGTTGTTCCAATTGTTTGTTTTTTGCTTCCTTGTGCTCCAAATCATTGATTTTATTCTCAGCTTCATCCATTCTACTGTTGTTCTCCTGTATGTTGTTCTTTATTTCAACTAGTGTATCCTTGTTTGTGACTGGATCTTTTATATGCTATTGAAGTTCTCACTAAGTTCCTTGGGAATCCTTATAACCAGTGTTTTGAACTCTGCATCTGGTGGATTGCTTATCTACCTTTTGCTTAGCTCTTTTTCTTGAGTTTTGATCTGGTCTTTCATTTGAGCCATTTTCTTTGTCTCCTCATTTTGGTAGCCTCCCTGTGTTTGTTTCTATGTTTAAGGTAGAGCTGCTATGACTCTGTGTCTTAGTAGTATGGCCAAATGTAGTAGGTGTTCTCTGTAGGGTCCAGTGGCACAGCCTCCCCTATCACCCAAGCTGGGTACTCAAAGTGTGCCCTTCGTGTGGGCTGAGTACACCCTCTCCTTGTTGAGGCTTGGTTGTTGTTGACAGGTCAATGGGAGGGATTTACCCACACCAGTCATCTGCAAGCACTGGCTGTGACTACTGACCACCAACCTCCACCCTCCATGGAGGATCAACTGTGCAGGGGCAGGGTGGTGGTGCTCCAACATGGTCTGTAGTTGTCTACTGGGTGTGGTTTAGACCAAGGTCAACCCCATCTGTGTTTTGTGTGAGGCCACCCTGCCTGGGCTATAAAGCATTCTGAGACGGCTGCTATTTGTGCTGGGCTTGGAGATTCCCCAAAAAATCCAAG